AAAAAAAAATAAATGACTTCTAGTTTAAGGCAGTGTTTAAGTGAATGTTACCATGTTGGATAACAAGAAAACATTCAATTTATCAGATTGCCTCTGGCTCTTCTAAGTGAATTTGCGTCACAATATAGTAAATAGTCCTTTGTGAAACTGACTCTAGGAACACAGCCTAGAATTAGGTACCTTAAGATTAAGGAAAATAGCTGAAGAGTGATTTGGTCAACTTTTCATAGGATTTCCCAAGTCTGAGAACATTTTAAGTCTGCTAAGAAAGTGTGATGTCAGGTCAGCTTTTATTCTGAGTGTTGGAACTTTCCAACTATGGAAAAATATCAATTTTCATTTTAGACTGTGCTTAAAACTGGCCTGGTGGCTACAGTTACTCAAGAAGGACACAAAAAACTGGGACCTAACCCTGTGGATTTAATTATTTTTCAATTCCATTGAAGATATTTATTCAGTATATTCATCTTCATGAATCTGGTTTGGCAAACCTGTGGCCTATCTTTAAACTCCCTAGACTTCTCTGTGTGGGTTGAAACTTTCCAGGGTAATTATCCTTTACAGTTATCTTTATGGGATTTATCTTTATGGGATTGTAATTACAAATGTAACTGTAGACATAATATCCCTATGACAAATTTCATCTCAGATTTCTTTTGATTATAGCTAGTGAACTGGCAAATCAAAATTTCTCCATTTGGTAATAAATGGTGTTACCTTTTGGTGCCAATAGTCATTGAAATGGTTAGAAAGTGTATGTAAATAAGATTTCTTTCTCATCTTGTCAGTAATCATTCCAAACCTGGCACTGACTGAGTAAGGTGATAATATAAGGGCTCTGGAGGCAAACAAATATAGGTTCATGTTTTGACTTTCACTAGCCTTTGACTCAAGAGGATATACTTCAACTTTATGAGCTTAGATGGCTGAACTTTTGATAATAAACCCTATCTTGTAAGGTTCCTCACACAATGATTACTAAAGGTAGGAGCTTAATAAATGATATGTATAATTATAATAAAACTATTAAAAAGTAATTCAATTCCTCCTTTATTCTGATGATTTCAAAGTACATTTATTCTGATGATTCCCAAGTACATTTCCATATCAAGAGCTATATGAAATTGTCCAAAAACAGAAGACACAGTTAATTTTAATTCATTTAATTGAAAAAAATCTATGTACTGGGCTAATTAAATAATTTTAAAATGGAGACAAGAGTGCACAGAGATATCCTTATAAAGAAACACCCATATTTGTGTGGCTTATATAGTCCACTAGTTTATTTGTTTTCCAGTTGTAAAAATGATAGCATAATTTTAACCCTTCACTTTTATATTGTTGAGGAATAACATAAAGCCATATTTATTTTTTCTTTGAGGAACCCAAAGGAGCTGTAACCACTTTTCAGGTGATGTACTATGTAGGGCAGACAGATGGGATTTACTTGTTATCTTCTACCTTGCTGAACTGCTTGCCTTTTTTAAACCATGGCATGTAATACTTTAGAAAATGTCCATCAAATAACATGTGTAGTGGGGTTAAAAACAATTTTTTATTTGCTTTCAATCTTATACTTCTGTATTACAACTAATTACATTACTTTTTTAAAGCCAAAAATATTTTCAAACTCCTACAAATCAGGTTCAAATATTCTGATCTCTAGTTCTCTTCTTTTTAGACTTTTAAAAATAAGGTAGATCAAATGAGAGAAATAAAGGAGGTATAAATTACATTAAATAACAGAAACACAGTTTTAATTTATTACTCTCATTTCCCTATGGATCAAACTGCTAAATAGTAAGGCAAAATGCAATTTAAAACATATATACTTTTAGGGGTGCCTAGGTGGCTCAGTTGGTTAAGTGTCTGACTCTTGTCTGAGCTCAGGTCTTGATCTCAGGGTTGTGAGTTTGAGCCCTGTATTGGGCTCCATGTTGGACTGTGTACCGGGCATGAAACCTACTTAAAAAAAAAATATGTGTGTGTGTGTGTGTGTGTGTTTATATCAAGTCATCCTTACATATTATTATCCTTTATTGTATTTCAAACATATAGCAAAAGTCACCATCAGAGTCATTTATTGGTCGAGAAAAGAGGTCAAATTCTCAGTCATATATTGGACGACCAATTCAGCTCGACAAGATTTTGATGTCTAAAGTGAAAGTGCCACACACATTCGTCATCCACTCCTACACCAGGCCCACGGTGTGCCAGTACTGCAAGAAGCTTCTCAAGGGGCTTTTTAGGCAGGGCCTGCAATGCAAAGGTAAGGATGATCTTGCCACCAAATATTTGTCACCAGCCAAACTTTGATCTGGAAATTAATCCTCAGCCATTTGAAGGCACTGGGTTTTTTTTATTTGTTTTGTTTTGTTTTTGCTTTTTACAACTTTTCTTTTTTATCAATTCTATGTTTTTGTTTTCTTTTAAAATCTTTATGATCAGACTGCAGATTCAACTGTCACAAACGTTGTGCATCCAAAGTACCAAACAACTGCCTCGGCGAAGTGACCATTAATGGAGGTAGGTAAAAGATCAGTCACGCTGTGCTTCTTTCCTGTTCAGGAGTGTGTCTGTGATGACTTAGCTGTATTTCTTCTTTTTTCTGTTCAGATACTTGTGACCCAGCCGAAAGTAAATTATGGGCTTAGGTTGTTCTGTTTTACTGTAGAAAAGCACTCATCATTGAGTTTTGATAAAAAAGAAAACAAAAACCAAAGAGCTTTGCTTGATTTTTATGCAGTGCACAGCTAGTACTGAAAACTTGGATGTCTACAGTTTCTTTCTCAGCTCTCTTTTTAATACTCTTGTCCTAGTTTGTTCAAAAATGTGGAAAATGTTGGAATGCCTGCAAGTTATAGCTCTCAGTCTCTTTTTCTCTGTCCTTTTAATTCCAAGCATTGAGATGGAGATTAATTTTTCTTCCCTGTCTGTCAAGGGAGGGAAGAATCGGAGACTGACCATCAGGAAATAATCATCCCTTCCTCCACTCAGTTAATTCCATTATGTGTGTTCTTGTAAACTTGAATCTTTAATAACAATACAGAGAACTTTAATTCAGCTAATTGAAAATATATATTGTGTTTAATAGTTGGGACTATTGGGGAAATCCTAATGGCATAAATTAACTTTGAAGGACACCTTAAGAAAAATACCATATCCTAAAGGAACAGCTTACATTTTCTCCCCAGGTAGTCTTTCTAATGCAGCCTTAGCAAATATTTGACTTAGTACCCCAGGATAACTTTTTCTGTAGATAGTGGACTGCTTTATACCTTCAGTCTAGTATCGGTTTTATGATTCCTTTGGGGAAAAAATGGTGACAGAAGACCAGAGAAACAATTGAGCATTTTTGTTGATAAAACTCTGAAGAATAAATGGTTATATTTGCTCCAGAATTTTCTTCTCTAGAAGAAATATATATCTAGAAGAAGAAGAGGGGAAGTCTCTCGAAAGCATTCCTTTGCTAGTTTCTGCCTTGGAGATTTATGAATTAGCTGCCAAAATGGAAAGCTTGGCAATCTTCCTACTTTCTGTGGCATGTAGAATTCACTTTGTTCAGGCCCAGGAAATGTCAGTATGTGCTTGATAACTGGAACTAAGGGGAAACAGTGCAGTTTTTGGTACTGTGGATTACTTTGAAATTGCATTTTCCCATACAGTCAGAAAAATCTAGTAAAATGTGAATTTTTCGAGCTTGGCAGGCTAAGAAAGGTCCCTGATCAGTCTATTTTCCAATTTTAAAATAAGTATTCTGCATTAGTAAGTACAGTTGACCCTTGAACTGACCCCCTGCATGCAGTCAAAAACGTGACTATAACTTTTGACTCCCCAAAAACTTAACTAATAACCTATTGTTGACCGGAAGCCTATTAATGATAGCATAGTTGATTAACACATATTTTGTATTTATATGTATTATATACTATATTCTTACAATAAAGTAAGCAAGAGAAAAATATGTTATTAAGAAAATCATAAGGAAGAAAAATACATTTATAGTACTATATTGATGAAAAAAATCTGTGTATAAGTAGACCCGCACAGTTCAAATCCATGTTGTTCAAGGGTCAGCTGTCATTATAATTTGTTGCATTACCATCAAATGCGTAATTACATGATTCATTATTACTTCAAATATCAAATATCTTAAGTATTTAAAAGCTGCTGCTTATATGGCCAATTTAATGTATTGGAATCCATGACTTCAAGTTACTAGAATAGCAAGAATCAATGACCCCCAGTCTTGGATGTGAAAGTTTCCCTCATCTTTGCATATATCTCTTTTTCCCACAAGGGCTGTGCTACTGAAATAGATCAGTTTCCTCTTCCCTTGTTCCTGGTATCACTTTGCTTCCTAGAAGTTTGCTTCTATCCCACCCTTGGCTTCCTGCCAAGGCTCTCCATAACTTTTCATCTTTTTAGGCTTAGGGGCATGAAAAAGAAACATCTGCATGTAAAATTATATATTCATCCTCTGATAAGTTCAGATACTTGTGAAATAAAAAAAGGAAAGGGAAAGAGAAGATAAATTCTTGAAGTAAGTATTTTTTAGGGCTTCCAATTGATATGTTGTAGGATTGCCTAACTCCTGTAACCCCGACTGTAGGATTTCAGGTTTATCACCATGGGTGCAAAACAATTTTTCAGATTTGCTTAGCCCTGGGGCAGAGTCTGATGTGGTCATGGAAGAAGGGAGTGATGACAATGACAGTGAAAGGAACAGTGGGCTCATGGATGACATGGAAGAAGCAATGGTTCAAGACACCGAGGTGGTGATGGCAGAGTGTCAGAATGACAGCGGGGAAATGCAGGACCCAGACCCAGACCCAGAGGAGTCCAACAGAACTATCAGGTAAGGGCTGTACTCCCAGTTTCAGTCCAATAGGGGGATTTACTTTTTAGGACCCTTTGATATTTTAATCTATCGAAAAAGAAATTTCAAGTGTTTGCTTGATTTGCTTATGAATGCTCTCTGAACTGTAGAGGAGAGCTGGTGGAGTGAGGAGGTCAGATTGCCTTGGAGCAGTGTAGTTTGCATCGTCTTCGTAGCATTGCTTCTTTCTATGATCCCTTTCCTTTTGCATGTGAGAGGTACTCATGTTTGCCATCCACAGGTTTACTACTAAATTACTGTTTATTCAGCGCTCATTGTGTGGGCCTGCAAAAATCGGGGGCCAACCTCAACAGACACCATCTGTCTTAAAGCTGACCCCTAATACAAATATCACATATATCTACATCTTACTGTGTTACTGTCTTACATCAGAAGTATGTAACATTTTATATTTTGGATTTAATAATCTATATGCTTCTTGATTATTAGATAATCCCCATTTTTGATATCAGGGATCAGCACACTGTGGCCAATCAGGCTGCTGCCTATTTTGAAATGAAGTTTTATTGGAACATAGGCATGGCCATTCATATTGTCGATGGCAGTTTTTGTACTACAATGGCAGAGTTAAGTATTCTGCAGAACTTAAAAATGTTTATACCTGGTCATTCACAGAAAAAGTTTCTCAGCCTCTGATTTATATTATAAAATGTATTCAGAATTTTGTGTCCATTTTACAAATGCCATATTTATTGACAATCTGGAATTGCTCATGGGAGTAGAGCAATAAAATAATTATATTTTTTCAATGAATGGCATAAGAAATATTTTTTAACTACTGGAAAATGTCAGCCTTATGACCCAACTGTCTTTGAAGGTGTACATTTATTTCTGTAGTATCAAAATGGGGAGAATATTCGGAAAGGTGCTTGCATTTATGCATAGGGGTAGAGAAGAAGACAGGAAGAGACAGACCAGACAGGCAAAGAAAGTGATGAAGGATCAGCATAATTCCATGAATGATAAATATTTAAAAGAGAGTTTAAACAGCAGATTCTACTTTTTATGAGATTATCCAGACTCAAATTCATGTTAAATGATATTATGCACAATTAATACTTTGACTGTAATATGTAATAAGTAAGCAAATAAACTTTTATGTGTGGTTCTGAATACGGTGGCCTCAGTACAGTAAGACAGTAATCTAATGTTTACCCGAAAACTTAACACCATGCAGTTCAACCTAAAGACTAGGGTGATTATTATCCTGCCTCAGAATTTTTAAAGTATACATGTAAAGTGCCTATCACTCAGAGTAATCCAGATTCTGAACCATGATATTCTGACAGTACATTTCACCAAAAATGCGATATGAATGTTTTTTGACTTTCATTCTGCAATAGCTGAAATAAGGTTTTATGCAGGAAAAGATCTGTATCTAAAAGCATTTCTCTCCCAAAATATTTTGACTTTTCAAGTCCATCAACAAGCAACAATATCCCGCTCATGAGAGTCGTGCAGTCTGTCAAACACACAAAGAGGAAAAGCAGCACAGTGATGAAAGAAGGCTGGATGGTCCACTATACCAGCAAAGACACACTGGTAAGATCCACAGCCAGCAATGCACTCTCTACTTGCTAGCTTCGATTTGAAGAATTGCTAATGCCTTGTGGAGACTATGGGATGGGAGTTACCAGGAACAAACCTCTGCTCAGACATGGCATAGGATCAGATAGAACACATTAACATTCTCTAGGTGTCAGATATAGTTGAGCAAGCAACTGAGCTAGAAAAAAATGTAGGCAGCAGTCTCAGGGAAACAAAATCATTGACCTCTATTACTTGAGATGGTCTCCAAACTACTTGAATGAATACCTGTCATTTTATAGCAGTAATGAAAACGACAATATGTGCTTTCTCAATGCTCCTCTGGGATTCAGAATTTGAAAAAAAAAAAAAAAACACTGCATTTTAGGGAGAGAAAAAAACTATGATAATTTGTATACTTTTCAAATCCTTAGTTAAGTGTTCACTTAACAACTAACCTATTCAGGAATACAGTGATCCTATACTGTATTAGATAAAGGACAACATATTTTAATTTTTTTAAATGTAGTCTGAGGTGTTCACTACTCCAGATTCTTCTAGTAGGTGGCAAATGAGATTGTGCATGTGTGTAAGAGAGAAAAAAATTGATCTTCGTTTTTGTTGAACTAAGTGACATTTGGTGATAAGCGTCTTTCTCACTTACTGGTAGTGAGATAGGTGGTTATTCCTCACCTCCTATCTATAGGATCTCCATTATTTCTTTTAACAAATAGACAACCATAACCTAAGTACACTATCTGTAATATCAGTATTTTCTTCTGGAGAGAGATTTACATGACTTATTGTGGGATCCAACTGAATATCATCTTTTAGTTCTTCCTAGACATGGTATACAGTATTTAAAATATATCTAGTATATTTGACTGGTCTAAGGTTAGTTGTGGATGAGACCAAGAACACTGCTAGGGCTTTTTGGTCTAAAAAGATGAATACACAGATACACATGCACACACATACATACCCTAAAATCATAGAACATATACCTAGACTCAACAAGAACCTAATCACCAAATCATAGAAGTTTAGATCTGTTGTGATGTTTAGACAAGGTAGAGTTTGATGCATTTCCCTGATTTAGTTAAATTGATATCATGGAATCAGACTTGACATCCTCCAAAATATTCTTTAGTTATTCTGTAATATTCAGAATTCTTCCATTTCTAATGGAAGCCAAAATATTTGACTGGATCAGCTTGGCATTCCTTATGTTCTGAAATAATGAGTATACATAAATATTACATCTCATTATCTCTTATTATAGCTCTTATATTTAACCCTTTTAATTTCATTACAAACTACAAATCCACCTCTAGCTCTGTAAGTAGTCAAATAAATTTTAAAATAGAATTATTTACTATGCATGTACTAAGTGTCAGACACTGCACTGGGTGCTAATATATTACCTCCTTTATTATTCCTAACCTTCTGATGTAGATGCAGAAATGTATCACACATTTGCTGAATAGTCATCTTCTATAATCTAAAATTAAGTGTGAATCTTCCTGGTCCATAGCCCATGAATTTTCCACCACCAGATCTTATCTCCCCACTGGGAAAATGTTTATGTTTTTATCAATCTTGGGTGTTATTTTTTAATCTGTAAGTATTTTAAAAATTTTTTAACGATCCTACATCTTACCTCTGTTTCAGCGGAAACGACACTATTGGAGACTGGATAGCAAATGTATTACCCTCTTTCAAAATGACACAGGAAGCAGGTACTATAAGGTAAGGGTGGCTCTTTCCCTGATTGGAGTCTTCTGCCCACTCTTGTCTTCTCATGAGAATGTTAGGGATAAGGAATACGAAATACATCTAGCAGACATGACTATTTTGTGCTTGCTCCAACAGAAATTTTTTTTCTGACATTTGCAGATTTGGGGAGAATCAGATTGTGACCCCAAGTTAGTCATCTGTGAGTTTCAAATTTTCCTGTGGAGTGCTTCTGGCCCTATTGGATGGTGGTGGGGAAAAGGAATCTTAACTGAATATGTTAGATATGTATATTTTAACTAGAAAATTCAAGGCCTGGCAGATAAGTGACAAGAAAATTCTTGAAATCCATTCTATCCAACATTTTTTGCTTTTTTTTTTTTCATAAATAGCCTCACAGCACATTGCCAGGAGGGTTAAGAAACATCATGTGATGTCTTCATGCTTTGCTGATATTCATAAAGAGCACTTTCCTCTAGAGAAACATTTGGCAGCAGTTTTCATTTTGTCTCCCCACATGAAATAATACAGATGTCACACATGTATCACCCAGTAGAAGGTGCCTCTGAAAGAAGTTCATAGTGAAAACAGCATATACTTGCTCCTTCAAACTTAATGCGGACTCAGCCATAGTTGATGGGCCTCTCTGTGTCCACTGTCCACAGCTCTCACACAAAAAGGAAACCTCATTACATTTTAAATTAAAAATTTATTTTAAAAGTCATTATTCCTTAGTCATTCCATACCTCTGGGAAGACAGTGTGGTGATTAATTTTTTAATGTCAAAATTGTTTGAAAAGCAACTACTTAAAAAA